CCTTATCTAAAAAAGGCATTGCGAGTTCATTGTTGTCGCTTTTCCGCGATGCCGATTGACTCTCTCGAAGCTCGATTTCGATCTTGTTGCGAGTCGATTCTCTTCGACTCGCGGTTTTGACAGTTTGCATTTAAGAGGGTTATTTTGACAGTTTATGTGTCGATCTCGTTGCGAGTCGTTCACTTTGACTTGCGGTCAGTTTATGTTATGTGTATGAAGAAGGAGAAGAAAGGGAAGATAGAGAAAGGAGGAGGAAGAGACGATAAAATTAGCTTTTGCGATGACAATTAATAAGTCACAGGGACAAACATTTGACAAAGTAGGAATAGATCTTCGCAAAGATGTTTTTAATCATGGACAACTTTATGTTGCCTTTTCACGCGTTCGTACTTGGCAAGCATTAAAAGTTTATCTTGGTAATCAGCGAGGTAATAAACAAGTTAAAAACTATGTATATAAAAAAATATATACATAGTTGATTTTTTCCTTTAAATTAAAAATCAAATCAAATAAATAAAACCTATCTAGATAAGAAAGAATTATATTGAATAAGCTAGATTTTTTGATGTTATAAAAAATGTGAGACAATGATAGGATGGGATCAAATGCAAAAGAATAGTTGAAGATAAAAGTGTATAGTAAAAACAAAGTTAAATAAATAAAAATTATCAGGATAAGAGAGAATAATTTTGAATAAGCCAGATTTTGAGATTTATTTAAAAGGAACGTGATATAGAATTAATGAAAATGATAGTGCAGATAGTGACCAAAAGTGAAATTTAGTAAAAATGATAGAAAACTAAAAAGAAGAGAATAATGTTAATTGGCGTGCGCAATATAATATTTTAATGTTCTAATGTAATGTGGAAGAACAATGGCGCGCGCTTCGCGCGCGCTTTTGTTGTTCTAGTAAGCTATAAAAATCGGGTTTTTTAATAAATAAATATACATCTTTTTGACTATTATTTACAATTTTATATTTTAAAATTTATTGAAAAATACTCTGTCAACCGTCTCTCGCTTTAGACCTTGCACGGCATGCAGCGTTTTGCGGAGATATCTCCGAGTTGGATTATCTGAGACAAAAAATTCAAGAAAGACCTTAAAGTATATTAAAAATTGTAGTCTCTATCGGATGGAATTTTAAAATTTTTTATTTTTAACAAAATGGCGGACTTTTAACCGTAAAACATCGATTTTCGGCAACATTTCTTACTTTCTTTCTGGAAAAAAAAATCAAAGAATCGAAAAAAGCATCCGATAGGGACTAGAGAATTTTATAAGCTTTCATTTAAAACAAAAACAAGTAAATTGGTTGATCCGTCCTTGAGTTATCCATGGTACCGATTTTGAAAGTGCAGTTTCGAGAAAATCGCGTTTAAAGTTTTGCAACAAGGCTACAGACAGCTGTGTACAAAGCCGTTTAAAGTGCTGTAACTTCCAAACTATTTCGAATTTCAAAAAACGGCTTTGGGGTAATATTCTTAAGACATTAAGCATTCAAAATATGCAAAAAAATTCCGATTTTTTAAAGCCAAAAGAGTTCTATGCCCCCTTAAGTTAAATGCACGCTCGGATTTTTATCGTACCTTGACCGTCGTATCATAAACCGTTGGCAGTCATCTGCACCTCCCCGAACAGGCACCTTCGTAACCACAGGGCCCGGCGACGGCGCACTAGTATGGGTGCAGATGTGATACTGATCTTCTCCCGCGAATCTTTTCCTGCGAATATGTGCCAATGTCCTATTGCAAACCATTTCTTCATAAGATGGAATCAATTCTCGAGTTAGATCCACGAACTTATCGAAAGGACAAAGGGTTTCGCAACCTGGGATTGTAAGTTCGATGATACTCGGTGGAATACCTCGATAATATAAAAGCTGTAAAGTTATTACGCAGCATAAATAATTAAATTCGTTATGTATGTTCATTAATAAATAATTCAAATTGTTTCATATGTTTATGTTTTCAAAAAATGATTCTAAACATTAGAAAATTAATAATATATTTACGGTATGAACAGACTTTTTATTTTACATTCGCTTAATTTTAATAAAGAATTATTTTTAGTTATGATATCATTTACAAAGATATTTTACAAACTATTTGATATTAAACTTACCTTTACATAATACTGCGTGTTTTCTTGTAACAATTCTAGAATAACTGCGCTAGAGTATTCAGGTACATGTTGCTCGTACACATTAAACGAGTGTAATAGTCCCGCGATGTTAGTTTCGTGACCGCCATATAAATAAATTTTCGTGCTTGATAAAGGCGGATTCTGCACGGCTAGCATATTCATCAACATCGTGTTGATTATTGGACCTATGAAAAATAAGTACGAGTATGTAAAAAAGAAATCTTAGATGCTATAACCGTTAAATTATACAAAACCGTTGAACAGTTCTTACCCGAATGCAGCCTCTTTAATAAAGGAGTGGAATTTGCAATATTGTATGCAGCCACGATTGCATCGAATAGTTGACCGTCCGGGAAATATTCATGCGCCCATTTAGGAAGAGTCAGATTCATAGATGATTCTGCTACGAAAGTGTGATACAAATAATATAAATCCAGAGGCTTCTCGATCTTCTTGCCGGTTAACGTTGTCAATTTATTCATCATGTCCTCGAATTGAGACATTTTTGTTTTCGTTTCGGGTAATTCTAACACTCGATTATACTCGTTGAGATACCTGAAAATAATCTCAAATTTAAATCTCTTTATTCGTGAAATTTTCAAGTTTTAAGATATGTATATTTTGCAATCATCTTTAACATTTACGATATATTACAATCTTATTTTAATTAAAGTTATGGTTTTCTGTTATTTGTCTAAATATTTTTTATGTTCTCTATTTGCCGAGCTCTATATCAAAGAACTTACACGAATCCTTTAAACAGTTTATTGTTCGTCGTTTTATTTATTTCTTTGCAAAATTAATCATGCTTACTGTGGGCACTCATCACCTAAGAAGAAATTATCGACACTACGTTGTATATATGTCGTTGGAATCGGTTGCCAATTTAACG